TTTGCAGCATCTGATCAGCCCTGCTGTTGGGATGACCAAGATGCCAAAGAGGTAACCACCAGCCACTAAGTCTTTGCAGTCACCACCGAGCAGCAGATGCATGCTCAGCTAACTTCATTCATGTTCCTATCCAAGAAAACATACCAGCCTAAGACACCTTGGGAGACACTTAAGACTAATATTTTATATTGCAGAAAAGAACGAATACGTGAGCAAGGATCAACCACCAAAGAATGGCCACGTTTGTTGCCAAAGGGAATCAGCTAAGGAGTGGCTGCTGATCAACCCAGATTAGCTGCAGTGCAACGTTGCAGCCCGATTTCTGCAGAGTAAGAGAGCTCCTTCCCATCTTCATCAGGGAGGAAGCAGCATTCGCTTGGCTCCAAGACTGCTCTGGGAAAGATCAGTAATAAACAGCTCAGTTATCACTGCAAGGCTTCAGGGGCTGGAGGCTTTTGCATGCATGGCAGAATTTCCCTTTCCTTGGATTCCTTAAGGGACCTTAAACAGCCTTTGAAATATGATACATTGCACCCTACTGATAAAGAAGGTTAATACTTTTGCTTCTTTTCTCACAAAAGAGATCTCAATTTTATAATCTGCTATTATTTATCATTTACTCATAGCTGATAATGATTTTTGCAGGCAGGAGAAACTGAACTACCTTGTTAAAAGATGAGCTATAGGGTGCTTTTGTCCAAGAAAGCTCTGAAACGGGAACATACACATTTTTTCCCAGTGGTTAATTTGTTGTATTGAAAGTTGCGTAATCCACTTGCTGCTCCACAGATCAGCTTCTTCAGATTTTTCTCCAGACCATTTTTTTATTGGCTATGAAAGTGTGATGGTGGCATATAAGCACATGGAGTTTGGCTGGAGTCGATGAGGGCTGCGGTTGCAGCAAGCCTGTTTGCAGGAGCCTTGGACACCGGTTGCAAAACTCAGCTGCTTAATCAGATTTTGAGCACTTCAAAGAGGCTTCAAATCGCAGGTTTGGGTTCAGCTCCCTGACTTTGAAATCTGGATACACCCCAAGTGCTTGGAGGCATGCAGATTTCCAAACCATTTCTGATTTCAACAAACTAAGAAAGGCCAAGATGTCTTAGAAAACATCTCAGGCTTGTTTCGAAGAAGGCTTTAAAATCCTTTCAGCAAAGAGCTCTGAAAGACTTTTGAGTAACTGGGTACACATTTTCCAAATGGATTTTCACGCGGTTCTACTACAAGGTAATTCAATTCCCTTTCCTGCCTGAAAAACACACAATAAGTCCACATAATGTGAGCGATAATTAGAGAGATGGAACTCACAGATTAGATTATCCCTTCCACCCACCTGCCAGTGCAGGATTGTTCCCTACAGCATACACCGAAACCCAATACGTCCAAGGTGTTGCAACTGAGCCATCAACCTATGTCCTGCTTCCAGTATTCTCTGAGCGAGCACCGGACCTGGGGGAGTGGGAGTGGGGAAAGGACTTTTTCTCCACATGATGCAAAACTACTCATTTTTTTGTAATGAAAATGCAGCAATCTAAATTTTTTAATCCAGTAACAGGAAAAGGGGTTGGTAATGAGGTCCCCTCCTCTCTGCACCCCTTTGGACGCAGAAAGCGGGGCTGGAAAACTGCTGGACCTGCCCAGATCAAGGTCTTCTGGAATGCGGTGAGAAGGGTCTGCACTGTAACATCCCGTGGGTTGATCCCTGAACCCATGTTCATGGACAGAAAAAGGCCAAAGAAGGAGTAGGCAGGTGGTGGAAGAAGAGAAGAAAAAAATGAACCGAGGGACCACCACGAAAAATCCCTTTTTGATTGCATTTGCAATAAAAGACCTTAAAAATTAGCCTAGTAAGAAACAGTGAGATCTCCCCCCAGAAAATTTTGATGTGTACAAGGATAAAAAGTTAAGATGCAGCCGGGACTTGACTAATAAAATAAAACCTGTTTGGGCTATTTCCATGTGAGTGTTTTTACATCTTTGCGGAGTAAGCATGAACCACATTTTTCCCTGCCCTCTCTAACAGCATCCCTTTTGTGTTCCTTCTCCCTCATCCCTGTCATTAGCCGCTATCTCTGCAGCCCCGTGGCCGGCTGGAACAGAGCCACTGCATTTAAAATGTATTTAGATGACCTCTCCGTGAGAGAAAAATTGAGAAGGGAAAAAAGCATCCATGGGAGGAGGAGGAGGTTAGGGAAGCTTCCCTCCTTTTCCCTGCTCCCACTGGGAAGAACAGACCGATCTGCAAACACATTGTGTGCATTTTACACTTATTTCCTCTGCTAATTTAATGCAGAAAAGGGGCTGCTATGGTTTGTGTTACACGTGCCAATTTTGAGACACCAGGCATCTTCTCAAGAGCTGGCAGATGGATTGCGATGAAAATAAGTGTAGCTACGCGTGACCTTAAAACTCAGCCTGAGAGATGCCTGCAGCTCAACAGGGGACTATCTTGCCCTCCTCCCCTCCCATGGCCATCACCATCTTGTACATCCGAGAACAAGGAGTATTTCTTGACAGGTCCCTTTTGAAAGTCATCCCCTCCTGCCTTAATATCTCGGTCCTCTAAATCCTCACTCAATCTCACTTCCCGTGGACCCTCGCCTGGCAGGCTCACAATCACTGTTGTCGCCCAGCTTGGGATAAATGGACGCCTGCAATACACATTTTCCTATCCTTGGGAAAAAAAAAAAATCATTCAATACCTTGACATATTTTTCACCCTTAGCTGGGATAAAAAGGCAAAATCTCCCGTAAAATGAAATCAGATGAGAAAAAGCCACGCCTCTCTCCCCCTTAAAAGGATTTCAGCGCATGGAAAATGTTTTACTTGGCAAATCTGTAATAAATTCAGTTTGGTTTTGACACAACCTGTTGATTTCACGCAATTCTTATAAAACTAATTTCTAAATAACCTCCACAACTTTTTCACTGCAAAACAGAATGACACAACAAAGTGGTCTTTTTCAAGGCACAAATTTGTCAAAATCCATACAAACCCACAAAAACATCACTTCTACTCAAACGATATTTTCCCTCAGAAACCGGTTTCAATGCATGCTTTTTCCCTAC